TTTTTTTTTTTTTTTTTTTTTTCCTCTTTTAACTTTTATTCGATTCTAGAAAACATTGAATTTCTATAGAAAAGTGAATGCTATAGTCTTTATCATTAGCGATAAGAATGTTAGTTGTAGGATAAAATTTTAAGTGATAAAAGGTCATTTTGCCATCCAAATAGTATTTCTATTTATGTTTAATTGATTTAAAACCGATAAATATAATATTGTACAAATATAAATTTCAGGTCTAGGAATAAGATGATAGAAGGGTTGCGTTAGTTGAATAGTACATATACATATATTAGATATAAGAAGTAAAAGTATCGGAATCTTTTCTATTTTTTGTAATTTTTTTCTTATGCGTAAAAAATATGAAATATGTTACCATTAGTTGAGATTAGTCAAATTTTATAATTGCTCTGTTTATTCGCTCTATTATTATTATAAGAGATAAAGCTATTTTTAGTTTCAATTTAAATAGTACAATAGTTTACGTTTTTAAAAGATTTATGTTAGAAATAATTAGCATTCCATTATTTTTATTATATAAGAGATTTTTTATTTTATATTTAATGTATATAGAAAGGCAGTACAGAGGTTGTAGTTGTAGAAAATATTAATTATTACGTAAGGAAATAAAATTAGGTAATTAAACTACTTTTTGTAATTACATTATTCTTAATTTCAAACTTCATATTGATTAGTTTATTTTTCTAATTAAATTGTTTTTATTAATACTTTTCTAATATAAGTTTATCTGTAATCTTCGTAAAAATGTTATTATTTACATTTGTAAAAATATTAAGAAAAAAATACTAAAAAAAAATTGAAAAATATTTTTTGTAACTATTGTATTTAAATAAAACATTGTTAGTAAAGAATTTAGAATTAATTGAATTATATAATAATATGTAAGGGAAAGACATAAAAAATATTTCAATTAAATAAATTAATTCTGAGAAGAAACAAAGATTTGGCATATTTTTAGAAAATAAATTTTAGACATGAAAAATAACAATATGATGTATTTTTTTTTTCACAATAAAATTGAAAAATTCTATACATTTATCTATACGTATCTTTTAAAAATCTTTATAGAATAATTATATAAATTTTTTATCTCTAACGAGGATTAGGAATAATAGTCACTGGTAAAAATGCTTTCAAATTACCATCTTGTTTTATCACATTTTTCGGAGGCTCATTCCTGGTTACAACTGCGTTGAAACCATTATGATCGTCAGCTGTATATGTGACTGTCCGAATTGATCCATCCGCCTCGACCACGGAATATTCGCCCTTCACCGTGTCACCATCCCTTTCTTCCCATGCCGATTTTGAATCACCGGTGTATCCATCAAGAACACCATAGTTAAACGAATATCTTGGATAGGCCTCCAAAAAAATTATTAAATTATTTTATTATTTTCACATTTTAATAAAAATTTTTCTTTCTTAACTAATTATTTAGATATGAATGAATAGAATGATATGAATCAATGAAGAAAAAATTAGAAAGATAAAATATAAGATTTGAAAGTGAAAAGATAATGAAAAAATTAGAAGAATATAGAGAAATCTATGATAAAGATCTTAATACGAAAAGACAATTGTATGTAAAATCAAAATATCTCATATTTAATATTTATTAGCGAATATTTAATATTTATGTAAGATTTAATTTAATTACTTATGTAAGATTTTAAATAAAATTTATTTATCGTTTAATGGAACGCGAGTAGAATTTTTTATATATCTTTTTTTAAAGTTACCATATATTCTGCTTCTTTTTCGTTTTTCGTATCAGTCGCAACAATAGCGGAGGCCGTTTTAATAATTGGTGGAGCAATATACACCAATGATGACGTCTTCGGTAATAATCTGTACGAAATAGGAGAGGAAACTTTCACATAAGTCGGAAATACCGGCTCTACTTTGCCTCCAATTGATTTAAGAGCACAAGTTACAGGTACTGCAGCACCATTGGCAGCGATTGCATCGATTGGCGCGCAAGGAAATCTTCTAAAGAAAAAATATTCGATTTGATAATCTTAGAGATAATGTAGGTAATGTTTTTAATTAAGATATAATAATTATATAATTAAGATATAATCTTCTTTCTTATTATTAAATACGAATTAAATGAAAGAAAAATAAAATTTTAATTATATAATCTTACTGTTGAAGAACACCAGCAATTATTAGGTTTAAGAAACAGCATAAAATCACGATCTGCAAAAAAGAAAAATATATTTATTTTCATCAGACTAAAAATCTCAAGAGATTTATTAGTTTTATTAGATATATTAGAAATTGATATTCTAAAAAATATGATTTATTAAGAAAAAAAAGTATTCCAATTCTATTACAATTTCTATTACAATAATTTTTAATAATTAATTTTACCAATTATTCTAGCAAATAAAAACCATGACCAAATTATATTTTAAAATGATATATTTTGACGACGTATACTTTTTTATATGTATAACGCATTGAATTGAAAAGATGTAAGATAACTTTATTATAAGTTCTTATTTTATATTTGAACTAAATTATTTCTAGAAATATGAATATACTTAAAGTTATAATTTCTAGAAATAACAAAAATTAAAAGACATAAGTGCACATGTATGAATCAACTTGTCATTGCACAACCTGCAATGGCTACTGCACTCTTAAGGAGTGCCACTATATAAGTAAACTCTGAAACCAATATATATGCGTAGGTAAGTACTTTATTCAGCGGTTCTCGAGCATTATGCTTAAATAAAATAATAAAAAAAAAGAATCTAAATCGCAAACCTTCGCCACAATTAATACGCTGGATACTTGATAAGAATCGAAAGAAAGGTCTAAATGTTTTTTCCTTCAAAAGAAAAGATTATTATACTTCGAAAGAAATCGAGTGAACGTGGGAATTGATATTGTACATGTACGTTTCTTGCTAATTGTGAACCGCTAGATTAAGCAATTGCACTTTCAACTAACAACCGCGGAAAAATATTAAATAAAAATTATTAAATATATTTATAAAATTAATATTTTGGAAATGGTTGAAAAAATAAAAATATTAATTTGAATATAATAATTGATATTATATAAAAATTATATTAATACTTTATAATTAATTTCTATAAGATTTCATTATATTTTATATTTTTAACAAAATTTTTTAATTTGTTAAATTTGTTGTTGTAATTTAGAAAATTAATTTCAATATAATATATAATATTATTTTATAATATAAAGAAACATAAAAAATCTTAGAAATATATTTCCTTTTTTTATTTTGAATACATATAATTTAATTGAATTTTCCATAATGTTTAAATTCTTTTTTCATATTTCTTCGTCTTACAAACCTTTTCAATAATTTTTTTAGAAAGCTGTGACTGCATGTTTTAAAAACTATTGAAATCACAATTGATTAAAATTTGCACCAAAATATACACTATTTCAGAGTCTTTTTTGAATTGCCATTTATTATTAAAAATTATTTCCAATAAATTACATATTTTTGAAAAAAAAATATTTTTATTTGTTAGTTAATAAAATATTTAATTAATATATGCACGAAAATATTTATGTATGTGATACACTTATAAAAAAAACTTCAATAAAATTTGAGAAACATCTAACAAAACTTTCACGGCGGTCCTTCAGAGAATAGAACATCAGTATCCAACTCATCTTTATATACAACTTATATAGGGTGACTATAAAAACTTTTAAAGTATTTAATGTAATATAAGTATTTGTAATATAAATATTTTATGTAAATATATATAAATATACATAGATATGATATATAATATACATTTAATATTTAATAAATATTCAATACATATTATAAAATAATATTTATTTATTTAAAATTTACTTTTTTTTAAATTTAAATTTATTTTTCATTTAATGATATAACAGTAATATTACTTCAATTTAATATACATAGAATATACATACATAAATTCATATTATTTTTATTTCTAATAAATAACAATATAAATATAAATAATTTGAATAATTCTAAGATAGAATAAATAAAATAAAATTAAAAATATAATTGATATAATTTTTTTTTGAATATGATAATATTTTAACAAATCGAGAATTATAGATATTATAAAATTAATAAAAAATTATTGTTATTATATATATGATTAAATTTCAAGTATTTATTTCAAACACCCAATATATACGAGAACATTCACTTACAATTCTTGGATCTCTCTTAATACAACGAGGGATGCGCAACGTGCAACCGTGGGAACGTCATCACCTGTTGAAACTAATATACCGTAACTTTTAATTTCATAACAATAAAATATTTATACTTTATAATTAATTAAAATTTAATAAATTTAGTTATTTTGCATTGATTCAGTGAGAATATTTTTAGTATTTTTATTAAAATACTTATACGAAAAAAATAATATGTAATGTATATAAAACATAATGTAATTCTTCAAGAAATATATACTCTTTTTTTAAAAATAAATTTTTTATGATAAAAAAATGTGAATGAGAATCACTGTGGATCAATTTAATTACATATCATCATTACATTTTTTTCCCCCTTTTAAAAAAAATATTTAATAAAGATAAATTTAAGAATCTAATTATCTTTTCGCAATGCATATTTGTTTTATTTTATTTGGTTGTATACCATTAATTTCGTGATTTAATATTTCTCAATTTACATTTCAAAATTGCTAGCAAAAATTAGACATTAATTATCATAATATCAGATGAGAAAATTAGATACTATAATATTCATTCATCGCAGATTTCAAATTGGTATATTTTTTATACATTTTAAAATTAAATAACATTTCACAAAACTATTTATTTACATTGAATAATTTTTTTATTATTTTTAATTAATTAAATAACTCTTATTAATTTTACACAAATATGTAATAAAAATTAAAAAGAAAATATAAATATAATAATATAATATATATATTATTTATTATAGCATTTAAATTGATTATAATTTGATTAAAAAATATAAATTTACTTTTTAATTAAAAAATATAATCTTTCTATTTTAAGTCTTAAATTTAATATTAATAATATATTAATACATAGTACTACATATTATATGTACATATATGTTACAATTTGCTATAAAAAGATATTTAAGATATCAATATTTAAGAGAATAAAAAAAAACAATGAAAGAATATAGAAAAAATTTATTTATACATTTTCTTTTGATAATTCTTCTACTTTTTTTAATGCAGCTTCAATATCTTCTTGTGTTACAGTAAGATTTAAACCATATTCTTTTTCAACTTTTAAAATATATTTTAGTTTTTCAGCCTTTTCAGCATAAAATATTTTTTGTTGTTCTTTTAATTCTTTTTTAAATGCATCCAATTTTTCTTGAATAATAGCATCACAATAATTTTGTGTCAACTTTCTTAATGCGTTTTTTCTTGTCACTTTATTAAGATCTCTATAATCAATTAAAAATTAAATTATACATATAATAAAATCATATCAAAATATAAAATATAAAAATATAATTTTTTTAAATTTTATTAATTTTAAAATGTTATAATATATGTTTATAAATATAATTATTATTAAATCATATTTTCTTTGTTATATATTGCATTAATATCTTTATAGATTTTAAAAAATTAGTTATAAAATATATATATATATAAATACAATGAACTTTAAAAGAATATTATATATTTTAAAAATAAAAAAAAGATTTCATATAATGAAGATACTCAGAAAAGAAACATTTATATAATAAAGATACAGAAAAAAAACATACTCTGGTTGGGCAATATATGTGAGATTCAAACGTTCAAGAAGCCATTCAAAGCGTTTATAATCCCATTTTCGCATTAATTTAAGATGCTTATTTCTTTTATCAATTAATTCTTTTAGAAATATTTTTATCTTTTTATTTCTTGGGTGGTTTTCTATATATTTTTGAAGATATTGTATTTCAGCAGTCATTGCAGCAACTGAAACAATTTACTTAAATTATACAGTTATTATAATAAAAATATTCCTAAATATAAATCATTTATTAAAAGAAAAAAAAAATTATAATTTTTTATATGATAAAATATTTACAATAGTGATATCAAATTTTATCAAGTTTTTTATTTTTTTTTATAAAACTAAAATGCATATAATCAAATTATATTTACTTTTGACTTCTGGAGAACTTCGATCACAAATATGTCTTTTTACAAGTTCTATTGTTTTCTCTCTTGATAAATTTCTAGTTTCTTTGCCTCGTTGAAATTCCAAACTAAAGGATTTCTTTACAAGATCATTTGCACTGTATATGATTAATTAAATATAATTAAATATAATTAATTATTAAGATATTTCATATAAAATATTTCAAAATTGCTTTTTAATTTTCAGTAAATTGTTGTATTGTATAACATTATTAATACACAATAAGTTTACATTTATTACTTACTCTTCTAATTCTTTTGAATTTTCATAATAAAGTTTAATATCAGTTGATTTTATAGGTATATTTAATCCTAAATCACCACTTTTCCGAGGATCTATAGATGGAATTTTAACTGGCCGTACCCATTTAATTTTATAATCATCAATAGTTGCCATTCCTCGGTATAAATAACCTCCAAACTTATTCATTCTTATACTTATTAATTTACAAGAATTTATTACTGAATTCATGTTAATTTATAAATTTAAATATTAGAATTATTAAAATTAAAGTAAAAAAAATTTAATTAACATACAATTTCTTATTCTTATTGTTTAAATATTACAATTATAACATTTTGTGCATTATCACATACATAATAGGTTTAACATCTATATTTAAGAAACTTCGTGTTTTATTTTCTAAAATACTATTAAATAGTAAGAAAAGGACAGCGCCATCTCTAGATTGCTAAATAAAACAAATGTAGATAAAAGGAGAAAATAATGAAAGAAGGATAGAGATAGAATAAAAATTATGGAACCAGCACCATCTTCAGTATGCCGCAAATGAAACTCAAAAAGAAAGGATAAAAGATAGTAAAAGAAAAATAGAGAATAAAGAATTGATTGATTATGCCATCTCTTAAATAGATATTTTTTAAAGATAAAATAAGAATTAATAAAGAGATATTTTTGATATTCAAGAGATGGTACTGTTAGTTAATTCTTATTCTTTTTCTATCCTTCTCCTACTATTTTCTATTCTTTCTTTCTAAGTTTTATTTCTACGACACATTGAAGATGGCGCTGATTTTATAATTTTTCTCTATTTCTGTCCTTCTCTTATAATTTTCTTTTCTATATTTATCTATATTTATTTTATCTAAGATTCTTTAGAGAAAGATAGATAGATTCTATTCTTTACAATCCTATTCTTTTAATAAGAAATATAATTGATTTATAGTTATAATATAGATTATAAATCTATATTTTACATATAGATATATTTTACAATTTCTAAAAGTGACTTTAAAATAAAACAATTATAATATAAATATGTCAAAATTTTATAAATTTTTTAAGAAAGGAAGATGCTCCGTGATTGGAATGGTGCATGTTGGTGCTTTGCCTGGTATATATAATAAATCAGATTTAAAAATATATATTTAAAATATAAAAATGGAAAAAATATATTGCAATAAATAAAATTGACATAATGATTCTATCATTATTGTTTTTAAAGTGTTAATATAATGATTTATGCTATTTTTGATAAAAATAAAATATTATAACAAATAATATTTATTTTATAACTATATTTTTTTTAATAATCAATAATATATTTATGATTTAAAAATAATATATTTATGATTTAAAAAATATCTTTTTAATAATAAATTATTGGATTTATTTAATAATTATTTTTTTATTTTATAAAAATGATATTAAAATAATATTTTTAGGCACACCTTCATATAATGGTAATATTAATCAAATTATAAATAATGCAATAAAGGAAACAATAATCTATAGGGATTGTAATATTGTAAGCTTATTTAAAAATTCATATTTTATTAATTTTGTAGAACTTATAAATTAAATATTTAAATTTAAAGGATGGTATTTTAGTGGAAAATATGCATGACAATCCATATGTGAGACCTAAACATTTAACACCTGAAACAACAGCAATGATGACTAGAATCTGCATAGAAATTAAACAAGTATTACCTGAAAGTATACCTTGTGGTATACAGGTAGAAATCAAAAAATTTATTAAAATATATATATAATGCATGAGAATCTGATATTTACAATTTAAAAACAATAATCAATAGATTTTAGCAGGATGTAATAAAGAAGCAATAGCTGTAGCAAAAGCAACTAATTTTCAATTTATCAGAGCGGAAGGATTTGTCTTTTCTCATATTGCAGATGAGGGATTTACAGATGCATGTGCTGGTTCTTTATTGAGATACAGAAAACAAATTGATGCTAATGATATTCTTATTTTTGCTGATATTAAAAAAAAGCATAGGTAATTTGTTCAATAATTCAAAAAAGAAATTTATTGGTTAACATTTATTATTAGCTTAACATAAAAAAATATCAATGACATTTTAATTTCACAGTTCACATACAATCACTTCTGATGTAAGTTTATTAGAAACAGCAAAAGCAGCAAAATTTTTCTTAGCTGATGGAATAATCTTGACAGGAGATGCTACAGGTTATCCAGCAAATGTAACAGAACTTACAG